TACAATTAACAATGTGACACATTATTTTTCAGGGCAGCCATGGAGACAAACAGCGCTATTTGTCAAAAATAGTGTAATAACTGATAATACGAAAATTTTAAATGTAGCAAATAATGTTTACTCATTGCTTTCAAACTCTGACCTTTAGTAAGAAGCCATTGGAGGTGTGTGGGATCATTTTTTGAAATTGCTAAATGTCCTAATACAGCACTCTTCAGACAAAAAAAGTTTTTATAAAAAAAAAATAAGTAAACAATTACATTTTAAAATATGCTTGAAGCTTTGCACTTTCGCAAAGTGGTATTACCTATTGATGGTCTGTGTGAGATAATCTAACCAAAAATCAGCCTGTGTTTAGATTACAGAAAGCATTTGATTGTGTAGAGCATAAAAAACTTGCTCATAAAAATGGGTGCGTCACAACATTTGATTGTCTTCATGCATTACTTATACTCAGGATAAGAGGCTATCATAAGGACAGAATACAGAGAAACTAAATGGTTTTTAGTTGGCAAGGGATCAGGCAAGTCTGCATTTTATCACTCTATGTGTTTGACTTGTACGCTGAACATGTCACATAAAGCAGGATTAGACTAAGAGGAAAAAGGTGTAAAAATAGGAAGAAGGATCATCAAGAATATAAAATATGCAGATAGCGTCATACCACCAGCTGAAAATAGCAAAGCCTTGGAATAAATACTGAAGAAAGTCATGGATGAAAAGTGGGTATATAGTTGAGAAAATAAAAATAATGACCACAGATGGTTAACATTAGTTCAAAGCAGACAATGAAGATATTGAAATAGGTTAAGATTTTCCATACTTTGTCTCAGTCATTCATCAGAATGGAGACTGCAGTCAAGAAACCAGAAGAAGACTAGGTTATGGAAGGACAGCTATGATAGAACTAGACATGGTTCTGAAGTGAAAAGACACATAACTGAATACCAAATGTAGGGTGATCTTTGCCATTGTATTCCCAATTTAGATATATGCATGTGAAAGTGATAGGGAAAAAAATAAACTCATTTCAAATGTGATGCTGATGAAGAGTTCTACAAATACTGTGACCTTCTAAAAAGACAAATCAGGTCCAAATTCTCCCTGGATGATAACTATACTGAGGCTGTGGTACTTTGGAGAAGGCATTAGACAAGGTAGAAGTAAAGTTAAAGGCAATAGGAAAAGAGGAAGACCATGTTACAGATGAATAGACTCATATAAGGAAGCCATGGCCCTGAGTCTGTAAGACATGAGCAAGATTGTTGGTGATAGGCTGGAGGTTTCTCATTCATGGAGTTACGATAAGTTGAAGTCAACTTGTCGAATGATAGGGGTAGACCTGGACAAATCCATTAAAGATGCAGTTTGTATGTATTCTTGCCTTCATTGTGCTGACAGTAATGGTTAAAAGATGACACGAGTTTATATTTTTATTAGAAAAGATACACCCAGTTTATGCTGAAATGGGCAAAACTAGATCAGGAATCTGATAGATTGTTGCCAATATCATACTGCTTTTACACAAATTCAAGTTTGTAATCACATATGGGATATTTTAAGCAGTTCCGGTCACTGCCTGTCATGTAACTGGGCTAAGCCTCACCGCACCTAGGTGCACCTACACTGCAGAATTATGCTCCATTGAACTAATGCAGTTTGACATCACGTTACCTAATGCCATGGTATCTGGGAGTTGTATTCTGTAGCCTTTTCTATCAAACAATGTGGGTGTCTCATCTATCTATAGCTCTCATGGTTCCACAGCACTGGGCCATGGCAGTTAAAGCAGTATCAAACTCATTAATTCTACAGTGAGGATGCACCCCTAACCATGTGGGAACCCTTTATTCTTGGGTCCATCACAACACAATTCTAATAAAGATGCCTAGAACTGGGATGTCTGCTGTATATCTGCATCATAGATAGAGTGAAGTCAAAAATCATATGAACTTTAGTTAAGAAATGGCAACACAAATGCAAAGAATCCAAAACAAATGCAGCCAGAGATTTGTTAACACCCATCGACTTCATTCTTATTCCTTATTATAGTTTGTTGTCTTCAAAAATAGTGGTTCAAAGGGCCCTTCCATACAGGGCCCTTTCACACAGCCATATAACCCAGAATATCAAGGCAGATAATCCACAATATCTGCTTTGAACCGGATTATCTGAATCCACACTCCAATATGATCCAGTGTGGATGTTATACAGCTGTGTGGAAGGGACATTAGTGATGCTGTGATGGGGGAAATCAATGAACTGTGAAATTTTACAAACTTCTTTTTAAAAGCCTTTGAAGCTCAACTAGTTATTTCGACTTTTTTAAAAAAAGTAAATTACTGGGCTTTTTGTAGGGTTGGTCTAATTGTTGCTTGAGGTATATAAAGTACCATTATTTGGTGCAATGTTAATAAAAAATCACAACTAAGTATAATTTCTATTCTTTTTTTAAATGATTATATCATTTGATTATTTCTCAAAACAAGTACTATAGTCTGCCTCCTTTCAAAAGTTTGTACTCTTTTAGTCGTCTGCAATACTCTAAAGCAGTGTTTCTCAAACTGTGGTCTTTCAGGTGTTTTGGACTTCAGCTTCCAGAAATAAGAGCCATCTTACCAGCTGTTAAGAATTGTGGGAACTGAAGTCCAACATATCTGAAGGAGCTTTGTTTGAGAAACTCTGCTTTAAACCATACTGAAAACTTGGGCCCCATATATACTGCTGTATAATCAACTTTCTGAATCCAAATTAGCTCCTTGTGGAGAGAAAAAGCAGGGTAAACATAATCATCATCATCATCATCATCTGCCTCAAAGTAGATTATATGACAGTGCAGTCCAGGCATGTCAGGAATTGTGGAAGTTGAAGTCCAAAACACTTGGAGGGCTGAAGTTTGCCCAGGCAAACTTCATATAAACTCATATACTCCATTTCACAGCAGATAATCTGGATAAAGGAAGTGGATTATATGGAAGAACAGATCCAGCCTCCCTGAGCAGAAACCTCCAACTTGGGCAACATCTGCTCTGTAGAATTACTGACATGGCTCAAGGTCTTTATTTATTTATTTAAAACATTTATATTCTGCCCTTCTCACTCCAGAGGGGACTCAGGACGGAGCACAGCATATAAACGGCAAACATTCAATGCCGGACATAAATAGACTTTGTACATACATAAACATTCATCTTCCTCAGCCAAGGAATACTGGTGTCTCAACAGACAATAACATTTAGGAAATGTTATGTGAATACCAAGCACAAAGTAGCTGCATGCAATAACGTCTTGTAGAAGCTTACTAATAGCACACGGGGTGCATATCCAAAATTAACAAGAACATCAGCCCTGGCCTTGTCTTACTCAACCACTGAGTATGCCTGTCCCATCTGGCATAAATCTGCCCACTCGAAGCAGGTGAGTATAACACTGAATGAAAAATGTAGAATAATCACAGGCTGTTTTAAACCTACATCTGCTGATAGACTTTATAAGATGGCTTTGTCGTCAACCTGGGGACCCACAGGTTGAGAACCATTGTTCTACAGTGTGGGACAGGCATAGGCAAACATTGGTCCTCCAGGTGTTTTGGACTTCAACTCCCACAATTCCTAACAGCCATGTTTGGGCGCTGTGTTTGGTGGTCCCTATGTAGACTTGTCCACAGCTGCATGGTATATGGTAGACTCCTGCAGAGGTGAGAGGATCCCTCTTATCCTTTGCTGAACGTAGCATTTGTTGGATTTTCTTGGTGGGTTTGTAGATAGTTTGTATGTTGTGTTTCCTCATCAGCTTCCCTATGTGGTCAGTGGTTCCCTTGATGTATGGCAAGAACACTTTTCCTTTGGGTGGATTTTTCTGCGAACCCCACCTCCTCCAAGATGAACTGAACCACCTAAACTGGGCTCTACAGGCCAATGGATACTCCACCTCAGACATCAGAAGAGCTGCAAGACCAAGAACAAGCCAGGAGAGTAAAGACAAAGCTCCACCCAGAGGAAAAGTGTTCTTGCCATACATCAAGGGAACCACTGACTGCATAGGGAAGATGAGGAAACACAACATACAAATTATCTACAGACCCAGTAAGAAAATCCAACAAATGCTACATTCAGCAAAGGACAAGAGGGATCCTCTCACTTCTGCAGGAGTCTACTGTATACCATGCAGCTGTGGACAAGTCTACATAGGGACCACCAAACAGCATTGCCCAAACACGAATCAAGGAACATGAAAGGCACTGCAGACTACTTCAACCAGAGAAGTCAGCCATAGCAGAGCACCTGATGAACCACCTGGACACAGCATTTTATTTGAGAACACAGAAATGCTGGACCACTCTCACAACCACCATGTCAGACTACACAGAGAAGCCATTGAAATCCACACAGGCATGTGGACAATTTCAACAGAAAAGAAGAGACCATGAAAATGAACAAAATCTGGCTACCAGTATTAAAAAACTCTAAAATTAGAACAGCACAACAGAGAGGAAACAAACAAGGACATCTAATCACCTCTCAACAAAAGATTGCTCCAGGCACTGTCAGGCCATTTATGCTAATCAAGGTGGTCAGTTGAAACATTCACACCTAGCTCCAGCAGACAAGAGTCCTTTGTCCCACCCTGGTCATTCCACAGATATATAAAACCTTTTTCCTAGTTCCAACAGACCTCACTACCTCTGAGGATGTTTGCCATAGATGCAGGCGAAACGTCAGGAGAGAATGCCTCTAGAACATGGCCATATAGCCCGAAAAAAACCTACAACAACCCAGTGATTCCGGCCATGAAAGCCTTCGACAAGCCATAGGAATTGTTAGAGTTGAAATCCAAACCACCTGGAGGGCCGAAGTTTGCCCACGCCTATTCTACAGTGTAGATGCACTCTGAATCTTCGTAAATAATTGAGTGCTACACACACAGAAAAATCAAACAGCCACTAAGAGAAAAACAGGGTGGAACTGAGTGCTCGCGAGTCGTGTTGCCGACCGAACCGATTTGGGGGACGGACCTGGTCCGGTCTTGAATATGGTCCGACGGAGAAATTTTCCAAACCTCGTGCTAGACAGCCGGTTTAGCGCTTCCCAGCAACACAAGGAATATGGTGAGTTCAGGGGCGTGAAATCAACGGTGAATAGATGGACAGACCTCATGGGAATTACTCAGGGGTAGTTTTACCTGCTCCTTTCTCTGAAATATAGCTTTGATTCCTTTGTGGTTTCCCATACAAGCATTGGCCAGGGCTTAGTTTCCTAGATCTGGACCTTTTAGCGCTTTTAGGCTTTAGCTCTGTGTAATACATAATATTTTTGTTATTTGTTATTTTGTTATTCAGCTTGAGACTGGGCACAACATAGTTAAAACACCTCACAATAAATATAAGATACATATATTAGAACAATCAACCTTTAAACCAGGGGTCCTCAACCTTTTTAAACAGATGGCCAGGTCACAGCCCCTCAAACTATTGGAGAGCTGGATTATAATTTGAAAAAAAGCATGAATGGATTCCTATGCACACTGCACATATCTTATTTGTAGTTTTTTTTTCTCGTGTCAGGAGCGACTTGAGAAACTGCAAGTCGCTCCTGGTGTGAGAGAATTGGCCGTCTGCAAGGACGTTGCCCAGGGGATGCCTGGATGAATTGATGTTTTTATCATCCTTGTGGGAGGCATCTCTCATGTCCCCGCATGAGGAGCTGCAGCTGATAGAGGGAGCTCATCCGCCTCTCCCCGGATTATTTTTAAAAACACTTAAAAACAATACAATAATGAAGAACAACTTTAACAAATATACATTTATTAGTATTTCAATGGGAAGTGTGGGCCTGATTTTGGCTGATGAGATAGGATTGTTGTTGTGTGCTTTCAGATCGTTTCAGCTTATTGTATCCTTTAGGAGTCCCCGGTGGTGCAGTGGGTTAAACCCCTGTGCCGGCAGGACTGAAGACCAACAGGTCGCAGGTTCGAATCCGGAGAGAGGCGGATGAGCTCCCTCTATCAGCTCCAGCTCCTCATGTGGGGACATGAGAGAAGCCTCCCACAAGCATGATAAAAACATCAATTCATCCGGGCGTCCCATGGGCAACGTCCTTGCAGACAGCCAATTCTCTCACACCAGAAGCAACTTGCAGTTTCTCAAGTTGCTCCTGACACGACAAAAAAAAAAAAAAGGTTGACCCTGAGCGAGGGCCGCGTAAATGACCTTGGAGGACCGCATTCGGCCCTCGTGCCTTAGTTTGAGGACCCCTGCTTTAAACGAACCAGACTCCTATATGGAGAAGAATTGTGGGCCTTTCCACATATCCATATAAGCCAGAATACCAAGGCAGAAAATCCCACAATATCTGCTTTGAACTGGGTTGTCAGAACCCACACTGTCATATATTCCGGTTCAAAGCAGATACTGTAGGATTTTATACAGCTGTGTGGAAGGGGCCTGTAATGCAGGGAATACTCAGATATGACGTTATTGTTATTATATTTATTTATATCCTGCTTTATCTCTTCTGCAGGAGTCTCAGAATGACTTACCATAAAAACATCTGCATACAATTTAAAATATACGAATATTAAACAGCATCAAACATCATTAGTATTAAAACAATTCAGATTGAATCCATAAAAAATAGAAAAACACAGCAGACATTTATTTATTTATTTAAAATATTTATATTTCGCCCTTCTCACCCCGAAGGGGACTCAGGGCGGAGCACAGCAAATATATGGCAAACATTCCATGCCAGGACACAAATTCTTATATACATACATAAACATTAAAAACATTTATCAAAATATTAAAATACACCATTTAAAACCATCCTAGTCATCCACATCAAATCTAATTGGCCTGGTAATCTTTCCTATTGCTGCTTTATTGGCCTGTCCTGAAAGCTTGGTCCCACAGCCAAGTTTTTACCATCTTTCTAAAGGACAGGAGAGACGGGGCCGACCTGATCTCACCAGGAAGGGAGTTCCATAGCCGGGGAGCAATCACCGAAGAAGTATCTCATCCCCACCAATCGTGCCTGTGACAATGGCAGGACGGAAAGCAGGGCCTCCCTGGAGGATCTTAATCTCCGTGATGGTTCATAGGGAGAGATGCATAATTTGGGCCGGGGCCATTTAGGGCTTTATAGGCCAAAGCCAGCACTTTGAATAGTGCCCGGTAGCAAACTGGCAGCCAGTGGAGCTGGGAGTTGTATGCTCCCTGTATGCCGCCCCAATTATTAACCTTTGCTGCCTCTCGTTGGACTATTTGAGGCTTCTGAGCAGTCTTCAAAGGCAGCCCCACATAGAGTGCGTTGCAGTAGTTTATTCTAGATGTAATGAGAGAGAGATGTAAAGAGACACAATCTTTAAAATCTAGCACAGACATTATGGAATGGAAATGGCTTTGTTGGGTTTTAAATTGTATACCTTTATTAGTCTTAATGCTAACTTTTGTCCCCTTAATGTTTAGATGTGTAAATGTAATTATGTTATGTTATTGTCTAATTTGTGGTGATGCTTTTATTATCACTTTGATGTGGATGTTGGATATTTTAAAAATGCTTTTTTAATTGGTTTGGCTTTGGTTGTTTCAGTTTTGTTATCACCTTACGACATTGAAAGTTTGTCACTGCTTGTAAACCGCCCTGAATCCCCACGGGGAGATAGGGTGGGATATAAATAAAGATTATTATTATTATTTTACTGACACGAAAACACAGTATGTTACAGCAAATGAGATCTATATGCTAGATTTCCTATCACAAAGTCACAAGTTGAACACTTCCCAAGTGTCTAGGACTGTGTGATGTATTTTTGAATGATGCGCACAGATCCAAGTAAGGTGGCCTTTTGCAGTTGACAGGTCGTGATTTTGTCAATGCTTATTGTTTCCAAATGCCAGCTGTATTATTATTATTTGACCCCTTCCACACAGCGGAATAAAATCCCATATTTTCCGCTTTAAATTGGAATATATGGCAGTGTGGACTCAGGACCCTTTCACACAGTCATATAACCCAGAATATCAAGGCAAAATAACCCACAATCTCTGCTTGGAACTGGGTTATCTGAGTCCACACTGCCATATATTTCAGTTCAAAGCAAATTATGTGGGATTTTATTCAGCTGGATGGAAGGAGCCTCAAATAACCCAGTTCAAATCAGATATTGTGGGATTTTCTGCCTTGATTATCTGGTTTATATGGCTGTGTAGAGGCCCTTCAATACAGCCCTATACCCCAGAATATCAAGGCAGAAAATCCCACAATATCTGCTTTTAACTGGGTTATCTGAGACCACACTCAGATAATGTGGGATTTTCTGCCTTGATATTCTGGGATATAGGGCTGTGTGGAAGGGCCCTCAGTCCTGCCACCCCTTTGTTGTTTCCCAAAGGGATGAGTTCATTCAGGCCTCCTCCCTCCTTCAAGGCTCCCTCTCTTTTTTCCTCCTAGATTAAAGTGGAACACTCATTAAGATCTAGGGTTCATCTATCCTAGTATTAATGCATGTGTTTTTGAAGGTTTTCATTGCCAGAATCACTGGGTTGCTGTGAATTTTCTGGACTGTATGGCCATACAGCCTGGAAAACTCACAACAACCCTGCATTTACATTTTTTATTGAGAGTTGTAACTATCTGAAGTAATCTGAGAGGCCTATTAATGGTTGCCTGCTCCCTTTAAAAGATATATGTAATACTATGAAAGACAAAAACCACAACATTTTTTGACAGTAATAACAATAATTATGTGCTTCTGGTAGTCAGACACACTCACATGTCTCTGCACCATGTCCCATCCAACTCTTGAATGTGTGTGAGTACAGTTGGAAGCTTGTGTGGCTCAAAAAGCTGTCTGAAACAAGGACAGCTGCCTATGATGTCCCCAGTACTACAGGTTAGAGAGACTAAAATAAGCTACATCAACTCCTGATTTCAGAGGAAAGATAGCAGTCAGGTTATCCAAAAGAAATCCAGTTGATGTTAGATTATATAGAAACTGTGCTACATGTTTGAAAGAAAAATCCTCGTGGAGTTGTAACTATTTGCAAATAACGAATTGCTTGTGTGCTGTTCTTGTTCCCCTGGTATCAAAGATCTAACTACGCCACCTTGCAATTGTTTCTTGCTGCACGATAAAATTAGGTGTTTATGGTATTTTCAGTTACTTTTATAATTGCAACAGAATGACCTTAGTAAATCATAGAGAAATATTTTAATTTGTCAACATACTATATTGAAGACATTTAAAATATTATCACCAATACAAGATATTTTAAGAACAGAAATGGATCTTAAAATATTTTAAGTGTAGCTCACATGAGTGAATAAAAATGTAGTGATAGGGAGCAAGGAATAGGACAGATTTAGCAAATGCATGAAAGGCTACGTTGATGCCCTGTGAAGCCAGACTCTCTCACACAGTTAATTGTTGTTGTTCATTCGTTCAGTCACCTAAACATTTTTTTCAGGAATTAGCAGCCTCTGTTTTTGTGTGCCTGCAAGTTGATTCCAACCCATGACAACCTTAAGGCAAGCCTATCACGGGGTTTTCTTGGGTGAAAGAGTGTGACTGACCCAATGTCTCCCAGTGGGTTTCCATGGCTGAGTTCAAAGCTTGTTCTCCAGAGTCCAGTGCTCAAATCACCAAACTGCTCACTTTACTTGCAAAAATTGAATAACGTAGTACTTTGTTCCTTGTAATAAGGGACTTGATTTCTCATTCATTTTCCTGTGATTTTTTTTTCTTTAGTGTGAGTGCTAAACACTGTTTTTCAATGTCAGAGCAAAGATGATATTTAAGGACTTGGGCAGATTCTCCTACGCTGTAACTCTTCATATAGATAATTTTATCTTGGTGCTGGAACACTCAGAAATCTGACCTTTTCAACTACCAACTCCATTTGTTTAAAATGGAGACAGATGAAAGGCTTCCAGAGTTTGCTTTTTATATGAAATGGGATGTTTTTCACACATTTTGCCCTTGCCAGATACTTAAAAGTGTTACAGCTGTTGATGAAAGAGGAGCTGCTGTATCAATTTGTGCTCCTATATCAGATTAATATTTTTTTAAGATCCAGTTCTTAAGAAGTAGAGTTACTTCACTGAAAAA